TTGATATGCCGTTCACTGATTTCCAACATGTCCTTATTCCCACTACCAAGTCAGGGACGCGCTTCTGCAGAGGAATGATTCGTTCCATCCACATTCCACTTCAACCCCTGACGAGCGTACGCGTTTTGACCTTTTCTTACGCGTGGGACAGGCGTTGTTTCGAATATGACGTTCGCGATGCCTATGCGAATCACGCGGTTCTCAATCTATCTATTTATTCAACGCAATGCACCTTCACATCAAATCACTAGGGCTCTGGCGTGAATGCAAGGCACATGATACCACTTGCAATTCCGCATTCGTTGCGTCGCCGCAGCAGGGCTGTAACGTTTCACCTGATTTTCACACTGATACGCAGCGGAACAAGTATTTCGCCATCCAAACACATCTCCCGTAACCACCGAAATACTCGATAGACCGGAGTGGAACTTTTTGTATGTTTGGAGAATCAGAAAAAAAGTGGGAACCGTGGAGTCGGAAGGTCACTGCTTCAGCCGAACTTTTGGTCGCAGGCGTCTAAGTCTTCATATGTCGCGCTTTTGCGCTGTTGTTTTTCATGCCGTACAGAGTAGTGCATCGTTGCGTGAAACACATGTGAGGGGGGGGGAGTCGCACTTGGCCGCTGAGGAGGGGGGTAGTATTTGGTCGTTGTTGGGAGAGGGGAGGAGGTCGTATAAACCTTCGGGAGAAATCTGCCGTGTTGGGAAAATTTTTCCGGTTGTTGACTTTTCGCGTAATTTTTCCTGTCTTTATTTGTACTATATATCAACCCCCCCCCACCCCGAAACTGTAGTATGTAGGCGTATGTTGGAGAAGGGGGCGGGCCGCATCGATGCCCTCTTTTAGGTGGGGGAGGAGTCGCACCAAGACCCTCCCTCGAGGGGAGGGGGCCGTACCGACACCACCGTTTCACGAACCAAGATGCTACCCCGATGCCGTATACACTAATGCCCTTAGGGCATGATCAGGAACAGTTGCTATCTGTGGTGATCTGAAGAGCATGCCCCTTAATAGTTTGAGTAAAAGTTAGAATAGCGCCAACAGGATAACCCGATCTTATCGATAATGACCACTGTACCAACCAAGGTTCAATATTCACCAAGAAGCATTTTACTTGGAGCAAAGGAATGAAAGTAGTAACAAACAGAGACAGAGAAAGAGCGGTGCTACATAGTAGCTAACGATTTTGAGGCATCGAGGCCAAGTTCTTGCAAGAAATTCTTCTCATTTACATATTCGTTTCAATCACCACTGACATCCAATGTTGCGCAAAAAAAAGAAGTGGAAAAAAGAAAAGGGAATTGTTGAAAAACACTTGCACATTTCAAGAAGTGGACTGATTAAGGAAAGGCAGCTAATAAGATCCTTTTGAGGCACATATATGTATACTCGGAGAGAAAAAGGTTCATCATCTAAAAAAGGAGAGTTGGCATCGTAACACGCTAACAATGTTGATTCAGTGGCGGGGCCAAACTCAACCTCAACAAAATATCGATAAGATAAGGAGCGGTCACTTTCGAAACTGGATTTACCGGAAAGCTGGCATAGTGCAAGGGTAGTCCTTCCATAAGATGAACAGATGAACTTAGCCATTGGAATTGAAACCCTTCAGCGACTTGTGAAGAGCTTAATATAGTCTGGCTCGCTGCGGACGAAGAGACATGTAGGGCAAGATTAGTTTGGCGCGGTGCCAGAAAAGTTCTCCAGCAGTCGTTGAAGAGAGTAAGTGACGGGACTTTACCATATCGTTCGTATTACTCGTTTTCTACAATCTTTTATCACATATCCGCTTCAACAACTAGCAGAGAACTGGTTTATCGCCGTGACACACTCGCAGTGATTGACACTCCCCTTAATCTGCAGCGAAGTAGAGGTCATGACTGTTCCTGTTTTTGAAAGACCAGGTTCTCATCTGGAATCTCCTCACAGGATTGATTGCAGTTCCCAGAAGCTTGCCTGCTTTACTTCGCTACATACTGGACCGATTCCTTCGCGTTTCTGTTCACTAACCTCCTGGCCGCATTCGGTGCAGCAGATGGACAGTACCAACGCTTGGTATGCCCTGATCCGTTTCTGGTGCACAGATAGTGATGCCACTTTTATAGTATTATAACCAGATCGAGGGTTAGCTTCATTCGATTATGTACCCTTTTGGCGACAGCGAAGAGCACTACGATACTGTCCACCGTACACTTTCAGTGTTGCTTCTCCTCGTTCGCCACGTTTGCGTGGCAGGTAAGTTACCACAATTCCAGCTTAGTTGTGATTTGTGACAAAACGCTTACGCCTGTATGTGCCCACTATGATAAGAACAGAGTGCAGAACACCCACACACAGCCTATCAGCGGACCAATGTCCTTCCGCAGCCCTTATAATGAGGAACAAAGCCGATCAATAGCCTCTACAACGGGAGCGTAGTGCTGAACAGAAATGTCGCATCAATACGAACATGGACTTTATCAGCAAAATAGAGTTTATCAGCAAAAACAAAAAGGGCAGCGATTCCCTTTGTTCTGCTCAAATGTCCAATGTTGTAGGGCGTGGATCATTACATACTGGGTGACCTTTTCAAAAACGGTTCGTTGCATGATGTAGGGGTCCATGCAAGGACCACAAAGGTGAGGTTCAAAAAAAGGAAAAAAGCAACTTGCGCAGAATAGGCTAATTTGATCATTTTATCCGGTTCTGTTTTAGCTGTAGAGCTGAGTTTATAACTTGTAACGTGTTTCTTAACTAGGCATGGAAAACAACGCAGAATAAGATCAAAATTCAGGTGCTTTACATAAAAATTCAGGTGCTTTACTTGGCATGCAGGGATGTACACTTTCCTCTAGTGGTTATGCAGCTTCCCATCCCGCGCGCAGTGGCCATTTAGCGCCACGCTGGCCCCAGATCACGTCGGCACCATAAATAATTGTCAGAATCGTGATCAGGGCCATTAATTACCCCTGTATACGAGGTTTCAGCAAAAAAAATTTCGAGTTTTCCTGGTGGTAGTGGACCTGACCATTTGGATGGCAGTGGCAGTGAACCCTCCGTGAAGGCCTCTGGCATACGAACCGCCAGAAATTTTACATTTTTCGCACTCTCAACCTCAGAAAGTCAAAGAACACCGTGTTAGCTTCGAAGTCACTAAACCAGCATCCTGAATCTTTCTCCACTTTTACCGTCTAGGCTTTCAACAAAGAACTCTTTACCTCCTGCGAAGGATTTTGTTTCTCTCACATCAGAAGAGCAAATGATAGCCGCTAACTGCCATGGCATCATATCACAAAAAGCTCGGAAAATTTTTCCGGCGTATCTCTGTACACAGGGGTATTTGATGGTCCTGATCACGGTTTTGATACTTATTTTTGGCGCGGAGGCCATCTGGGGCCAGTATGGCGCTAAATAGGCCCGCCGCGCAGGGTGGCAGTGATGTTAGTACGAGAGAGCCTTTGCACCAAATTGGCGACATATTGCGTCATATTCGAAAATGAGTGTCATATTCGTGATCAGGGCATCGGATAACCGCCGTAACCCAAGTTTCAGGGGTGTGCTTTCACTGTGGACTTTGAAACACGGTACGCATTGTACTTCTAATCAGATACAATTCCATATAGGCGATGGGGATCACGCACTGACTTTTGAGCCCAGCTCAAGTGCAAGCACGGCACATCATTGAATGGGGATTTTGGTCGAGTCCGTGCCCCTCTTTCCCCTCCCCCCGGAGGTGGCTTGATAGACCCTCCCACCACCTAGTTTCCTTCTCTCAGTCAAGCTGCTGAGCAGGGGCTTGGGATGCGTAGGCTATTACACATGTGCGGCGGGCAAAACCGCGAAAAAAGTACGACCCCCTTCCCCATCCCACCTACGCCTTCCATAGTTTGTCAACTTTCTAACCCTTTTCCAGTTTTCCGGAATTTCCAGCAAATTTTCCATAATTTCCCTCCAAATTTTTCTGTCGACCGCGGAGCATATAGCACATGAGAAATAGGGAGATACCAGGAAATGTCACCAACCGGGAAAATTTTTTTCCCAAAGTCATTAATTTCTCTTAAAGGCAAAGCCCGCGACCACAGATTGTGGGTAACGGAACCCACATAGGAACGAAAAAGGGCTAGGTATCTGATTAGCGGAGAAAAGCAGCAGAAAAACAGCCGAAAATGCCCTAAATAGGATTCCATATCGACCCCAACTTGTACATGCATGCAATGAAGAAAACGCATGTTTGTACGAATTTCCACTCGTCGTTATCATAAAGATATCAGCTCTTTTATCGTATCACCTCACTCTCACCATTCGGAATGGAGAGAGATAGCATAGTGGCTACTAGCTAGTAGCTAGCAGCCGGTGGGGTCGGCATGGGCCTAAGGGGCGCCCTTGGGCCTAATTGGTTAGCTTGAAGCGGAATTCTTGCGGATTTTCACTTTCTAAAGGTAGCGCAGCCTCCGCAATCTCCTTCCGGATCGTCTGACACATTTGAAAGGTCATAGCCTTATTTTATCGCGGAAAGTGCCTTTAAAGGCAAACACGACCCTCCCCCCTCTAACAACAACGAGCGATTGGCGACTCCCCTTAAAGACACCGTGAAACTAGAAAAACCAACTATCAAAAAAAATTTCGCAAACTAAATACGACACCCCCCCCCCATCACTGTTTGTGAATCGCCAAGGACAACAATGTGCCCTGAGTGCAGTGTTTTTATTCTCTCGAACCAATCGGGTGCAAATTTACCGTCCGCGGAGGGGCGAAGGCTTGGTTGGCCTAAAAGGGAGGCGGTCCGGAATTGGGGTCGTAGCCTCCATGCGTAGCAATAATATTTTGGAGTTCTATCACTAGAGTTGAGCCCAGATGCATGTTTCTCACCTAATTTTCCCAGACGCATGGCAATCAAACACTAAACAGCAAAAATTTATTCTGTTACCATCGAACAACTACCGATGTCTTTGATGATTTCGCAGTGTTCTTGGTGAAAGGTGACAAGGAACAACATTTAAAACATAATTATAGCGCAGCATTTAGAATGGGGTTCTTGCAGCATGGCGGAGTTCCTCCTTAATGCTAGACTCGGTTGTATCTTGAACGCTCTGCAGAACGCTGTAGTCAGATCCTCTACGTTTCATTGCTGTCGCATGTTCCATGAGGGCGGTGTCCATGAACAGGCACTGAAATAATGTGGCGACACTATTTTTCATCAAATTCCTAGAAAACTGTGAAATGGTCAATCAGATATTCACCGACCCTTCACATATTCCTGCGCTCACCGATGTATGCGACAAGACAATCGTAAGGCGGAGCTGCTGCGTTCATATTTTGCAGCATCGTCCATCAGCGACCAATAGCGTTCACCAGCAATACGAGCGTCCGAGAGCTTCAGCTACTAGAGTATAGATATCGGTCTAGCGTCCGCCAGCGCGCAGGTTTTTGCCACCCTTCTATCGCGCCACTTTCCTTCTCGGGCTGGTAGTACCTGGTGCACTCTGGCAGACGCTAGCAGACTTAATCGTTACCTATACTTCCCAGGCACTTGAGAAGCTGGTGGACGCTGGTAGACGCTGGCGAACGCTCGGAGACGCTGGTGCACATTGGCAGGCGCTAGATCGATATCTATAATTCCAAAGTCACTGAGAATGCCGGAAGCTGAAACAATAGTACGCTTGTAGACGCTGCCGCAAAGTACGAACGCAGCCTAATGTGCCGGGCTGTTGGTGGCGAGCGACGCGGACGAACCAGTAATCCTACCGGGCCATTTGTAACTGAGTGTTGAAGGGACGGGAGGCTCTAAATTGTCCGTCATGGGACCCTGTCTTTGCCACAATTTATATGACACACAGCTCCAATTGACAAAACAATGCACATCGAGAATTTGTGGCGTATCGCGCACGACACACCGCACGCGACGACGCAACGAACTACGCGCACTTTTGAGGAGCGAAAGTGGCACAGCTCAGACGACTGCGGACTTGCGCTGCTCATTTAAGTTGATACTGCGGCACATGCTTCTCCCTCGCTTAGGCAGCGTTTAGACCTGTAGCGCTACAGCTGTACCAAACTCCAGGTTCCCTTTATGTTTTTTCTTTCTGAATTCAATCCCTTCTCTTTGTTTCTCATGTTTATCTGATCCTGAGCTCCTTTTTTTAACACTGAATTTTGATGTAGTTTTGATACAGAACACTGTGATGATTGATTTTATATATCGTTGTCGACTTTAATTATCCATACTCAGGATTGCTATTGATGTTTGATGTCTTGCAGTGGTGCGTCATGTTGATCCCGATTGCGAAATTGTTCAATCAATTTCAATTGCTCAATCGAAAATACATCAAAATTCAGTGTTAAAGAAAAAAAAAGGAGCTCAGGATCAGATAAACATGAGAAACAAAGAGAAGGGATTGAATTCAGAAAGAAAAAACATAAAGGGAACCTGGAGTTTGGTACAGCTGCTACAAGTCTGAACGCTGCCTAAGGCACAAGGCTGTTCAATTGTACAAGAGACTCAGCCAAAAAGTTAGTGACTCTGCCTACGTTGCTAGATATCTTATCTGTCTGGCTTTTTTCCTCTGGCTTCTCGCTCGAGAACCACATAGATTTTTAGTCTCTCGCTCAGCATAAGGAAATGATTTCGAGCCTTTAGACTCTTTCCTTCGCTTTTTTTTTATTTGCAGCGAGTCGATTGGCACGTGCATTTCTAGTTCCCATCCCGATACTAACAAACTTCTCTCTGGCTCATCGCGGATTCTGCTTTCACAAAGTGTGCGGAGTCGTTTGTCTGTCGATCTAAGTATCCACGATTTAATGTATATGTGTGAAAAAGCAAAAATGCGAAAACTTCACAGAAGCAAAAGTTTTGGTATGAATGTCGTAGAAAAACAAGATCGCGCTGAAGAGTGGGCGCGGTCGCGCGGGCGAGGCTCGAGATGGTGTCCAGTGTGGTTGAAGACATCTTCCGCGATAAAAGTGTCACGAAGGAAAGAATGTGAAAAACAACAAAAACGCGGAATGAAAACTTTTGAAAAGGAAAAGAAACCTTTTCAAAACTCGGCGTCCGAATTTAGGGTTACGGTAGCGTGCATCTTTTAGTGTAGTGTAGTGCGTCGAGCTTTTACGAAAATTGGGTCGCTCGTGATTTTTACGCGTTTTACCTTGCGAGATGGGTTGGAGTTGACTGTATGTGCTCCTAATGAATAAAATGTAATAAAGGAGAGCAGAATCATTCATGGGCACGAGCGCGGTCAGCAAAAAGGGCATGCATTCCGATTAATGCCCGCCGCCCCAACAAAGAACAACTGAGCGGCCTCCGTCAGAGGGCATCTAGCAAGTGGGCGGTCCAACTGGGCGGGCGTTAGAACTAGAACTTTCAGCGGCTGTAGCTCGCTCCTCGCTCGCTGTGGAGCGCGAGTGGGACAGTCTCTAGCTTGGGGGCTGTACTACTTGCACAAGGAAGGACGACCATGTACTACTTGAGCGCGGGGGCTGTCTTTGAGGATGGTGCGAATAGCACCCCTTCAAGTTTGCTCAGACATTTTGCGAAATTGGACTCAGCGGCAAAAAAGTGAGACACGAGGGAGAAAACTGCAAGTTGTCCTCGCGGCGCTTTCCCACAACAGACGATTACCGTCAACGTGTCAACTGAACTCACAACGTCGAAGAGGCCTAACGAGGTTTGGACTGAGAACTACCGAATGATCGCCAAAGAGTCCACCTCTTCGGCTCGAATGCTAAACAAATTCCGCCTAGTAGAGAACACGCGAAACGTTGTCACGTTGTAGGAATGCAGGCCAAATGGCTGCATTATTGTTAGGTGCGATTTCTCTCGCTCCTTCCCGTGCTAGATCCACGCGGAAAGGTCAACAGGCCAACTGAGGTCCACACATCTAATGCGCTGAAGGGGAGGTTTCACATATATGTTCACCTGTGCTTGTTTCTCTCTCTCCGTCTCTTCGAACGATTTCGAATCATTCGGTCCCAAGAATACAACCAATAATCCAATAGCTGCGATGTCTTCGCGTGAAGTTCCCAACTGGAAATCAAATGAAATGCATTTATGGAAAGAAAGATCAAAGATAAGTTCGCAGAAACATTACTCACTGGTTGATCATTGAGTGGATTGCCATACATTTTACTAGACGTGAACGAAACTTACAGACATCTGCTTCACCGTCGTCAAACGCGCGTTGCCTTGGATAAAAGAGTATGATTTTCGCCCAGTTTATGCCGGTCGTTGCGCGCAAGGCTTCTTTGTGGAACTCTGCAAGTTGAACTACGTGGATAATTTTTAGTGATGAGCTATACTTCCTAACTACAATAACACAGTCAAGAAAACATAAGAAGAGAAAGAAAAGAAAAGCACAAGAAAAAGTGGGACTGACACCGGGGGTAGGGAGGTGATTCGCGAACAGCTACACTCCTCATACCTGAGACAGAGTAGGCGTGGCATTTGAAGATGGCATAAGGCGGTTTTTCGTGGCATATTTCGTTTATGGGACAACTGTCATCTTGTTCTGGTGGTTGGACCATCATGTTACAGGGGTGGCCAAAAAAAGTCACTTTGCCTCATTGACTTTTTCGAGGACGCTATTAAGTTAACCCAGTCGTGAGATTTTTTATGCGGACATTCCACCTCTTGAAGAGCACATTAAGTACTATCACGACACTCCGCCACAGCCTTCTGGACGAACGCCATCGAGAGATTCTGGCACGCGACCGCGATGTGGTACCTGAGATCAGCGAAGTAGTCGATTTCTCCGCCACCGTAGACCACCCTCTTGAAGTCCGCCCGAAGCTAGGTAATTGAGTGGGTTCAGGTCAGGGGACATACTTCAATATTACATCTTCTTCAGGTACGAAACGCCCTTCCATTCGAAGTAGGCGGGAGTTTTTCCAAAACCCTTTGATTCCATGTGGTGGCACCCAAACCTGTAGCAGCACAAGGTCTCCAAGAAGGTACGGGCGACCACATGTAGGGAGGATATTCTTCTCGAGTTACTTGATGTAACCGCCAGCGCTCACCTTCAGTCGGGGTCTACAAAGAAAATATCGGTCTTCCCATTCCAGGTACGGCCGGTTCGCATACCATCAACTCACGTCGCCTCGGCAATACGGGCTGAAGATTGACTGTCCTAGACCGTACCGAGGTTGAGCGAAGCTGCGCGATAGTGGGAGGGTTCTTGCATGACTCAAGTGAAGTACCTTGACCTCCAGGTAGCTATCCATGGGTGACCCCATACCAGAAGTTTCGCAGCTGTTTGGAGGTGACATGAATTCCAAAGGTCTTCTCCAGTCAGGTTGCGACTGGAGATGACTTCATATTTTGGTGTACATGAAGGTGATGGCGGCAGCCTGCTCCAGCTTATAGAGGAAGATCTTGGGTATCTTCCACTCTGGTACTCATATCCACTTCCCCTGTCTGGGCTGCGAAAACTTCGTTGATATGTGACTTGGTCAAAGTGACTTTTTTTTGGCCACCCCTGTATAGTGCTAATTCGCTTGCGACGGTTGGGTGTCAGGCGGAATGAGTTTGGCGCGGTGCCAAACCCGTTCTCCACCAGTTGTTAAAGCGAGCAAATGATATGACTGTATCATATCGTTCGTATTACTCGTTTTCTACCACTTTTTGTCGCATGCGCGCTTCAGCAAGAAGACAGAGAACGGCCTTGATGTGTGAACACTCATACCTGCTTGAGACCGCCCAAACGTCGCAGCGAGCCAGACTGGAGTTACACTGTCCCAAAATAATAATGATCTAGCTGTAAAACGCTAGTAGCCCGCCAGGTTTAAGCTCAAGTACACAGCCAACGCGGCGAAGTCTCTGGGCATTTTGAGTGCACAGATGATACTGATATCGCTATACCTGCTATGAAGGTCACCGCTCTAAGGCGTTATAGAACTTACCTCTGAGTCCGTATGAGCCGATTAAAAATAGAAATAAATGATGCTGGAAAAAAAAAACAGATGGTCATTTGGCCCATTCTTCTAGTCAGATAACTATCTTATAAAGCAGTGCGGAGCCGTGGAATTCCCCTGGGAGTTCTGACCAGACAACATTCGGCACGATGAATTGACAGATTTTCATGAGCAGAGTGCGGCTATGATATTATATTTTTATTACTCAAGAGCGCAGCTTTGCCACAACGTGCCTGCAGGTCAGCCACAATCCCTGATGGACGACATGCTCTCCGTAAAGTTGCAAGTTACTGATGCTTTGTTTGAAAACATCATTCAGAAGTATGCTCACTTCCGAGGGCGCTGACACCCGGTTGCTCTTTCCCAAGTCCGCTCCGCTATGCCAATCTACGACGTCTTGGACCGTGGACCAAATTCTTCGTTTCTCTACTCCCTCTCACTTCCGGCTCTTCTCTACCGCTAAGTACGCGTTTCTTTGCCGGACAATGGTTCCCTTGTAAATGCTGCACCTTGCGAGTAGAGTATGGACACGACTATCGGGTACCTTACAACCGCGTTCTCGTGCACTTCTCGGAAAAGTTGCACGCTGTTGTAGGCGCGGAGCTACTCACTTACATATCTTCATATAGCAAGGAAAAGGATCCATGGAGACGAATGGGTGTGCAGTTTTTCTCAAAAAAATACAAAACCTAGCCGTTTCTAACAAGGGAATGAAAGCTTCCTTGACGGCAATTCGAGAGAGCACTCTTTGAAGGTTATTCAAGTTATTCGCATATTGGAAAAAGTGCCTTTTTCGAAGACTCCTGCTTGTTTTTGTTCTCCCCTTCATACACGACATAGGAGTAAAGGATTAAACTACCAATGTACGTTAGCTGTCAGAAGTAGATGCGGTTTCGGCTTTTAAAGCGAAGCTTTCAAAGTTCTTTCCCATTGGAGTAAGATACGTAGGGAGGATTGTCCACGTAACCACTAATCACGAATAACCACTGAGCAAGCCAGCCCAGTGGGCGGAGGGGAGTCAAGCGTTGGGTGGAGGGGAGTCAAGCGTTTACGGATGCAATACCCACTAGTTGTCACTGCAATAGTGTGAGGGTTGTAATGTGCGAAGTCGAGTCAAAGTCGTTGTAAGCAACGCAGCAACTTACCATCATACTGCTGAACCCATGTTTTTGGGATGAACTTAGGCCTCTTCAGCATGGTTTCAAACATGGCAGCTTTGAGCTGGAAAGATACCTTATGTTTGTTCGGGTGTCCAGAACTATGCAAAGCTCCTATAAATCATGAATACCGTTTCTCTCTGGTTAATCAGGCGCTGTGTCTCTTCATTGAAGTGGACGCCATGCGCTTGCATATAGTCGATGGTTTTGTCCAAGACTCGGTCAATTACATGTAAAACCTTTCGAAGAAAATCACAAAATTAATCAGAACTCGTTCAGCTGCTACATTTTTTGGCTCTTGTATACTCCCACGCGTGATTTTCGGCGCGGTGCCAGCCCCTTCCGCACCACTGGTTGAATGGCCGAGGCCGCAACGATCGGTTGGAAATGGGCTGGCACCGGGCAAAATCCCACCCCGCGCTGAAATGCTGGACCGACTTCAGTGACAACGACTGTAGGATCAAGTGGACATAATAAGGAGGGCATAAGGCCTTCTTTCATTCTGTTACACATTAAACTGCTACTTATGTTCTTTTCAAGGGGGAACAAGGCTTGTGCTCGTTTGTGTGTCACGGAATTATAGCGCACACCGCACCAACAGCGAGGTGTTCGTTATAACAGAGCAAGGATACAGAGAGCGCGATGGGACAATAAAGAGCCCGTGATACAGGGGGTGCGACTGGGACTATTATGTTGGGTGATAGCAATTGATAACAATAGATAACGGCTTATGATGGGCTTTAGAACTTGGTGTATTATCTAGCAACGCAGTAGAAACTCTGAACCTAGAGAGTTGTAAAGGGGAAAAGAATTCTTTAGTGGGTGAAACAACACTCTTCGTGCTGATAATAGACGGTTCAAGTACATACGTGTCGTGTAGCGATTGGAACAGGGTACAGACCGTGGGCGATCGGGTGTGATATCAACTGATAAAAGCTGATAATGAGGGGAATTGAGGCCACTGGAGCCGGTCGCTCCTCTTCGTGGTGGTAGAGCTTTACCATCAGAGAATGGCAAAGACTGGTGACAAGATGGGACCTTGAGAGATGGGTGACAAATAGTGACAACGACTGACAACAACCGATGTGTAAAGTTGTGACGTATATTTCCATACCCCTTATGACTGAGCTGCGGCCACGATAGCTGGTTCTTGACGCCAGGGTCTCCATAACTAAGCACTTACATTCAATTTGGGTGTTGACATTCCAGCAAGCTTATTCAACCGTTACACTATCTATTTGTCGATAAAGACTTATAAGAGCTTATGATAAGTGAGTATAGGGGAAGCGCATCACTATTTGAACCGTGCTGCAGCCATGATCCCTGCAAATGATAGGGAGTATGGGGCGCGGACGCGAGTACTGCCTGGGCGACCATTTGCAATCACTGGTGCCTTCATGAATCCGCGGAGCCGAAGAGATAGACTGTTCAAGCTGCGCTCCCACTCACTCCCCATCATACTCCTTATCGTTTACGGGGTCATGCCTGAACTTGAACTTAGCGTTGCGCTTACTGTTAGAGGAATAATTCAAGTCGCGCTCGTTCTGTGTTGAGAACCCATTCCTCAGCAGTTCGATGGAGGAATGCCGCTGCATACTCAAAATGTACAGAGGACGAAATGTTACATTTTGGTCGTATGGGAGTTTTCCAGAGAAAAATTTCGATATTGTGTCATTTTCCTCCTTGGTGAGCGCCCTCTCCATAGCCTTAATAACTGGTTCATAATAATGATCCACTCAATTCAAACGTAATGCGCTATACCTTCTCTTTATAAGCAACTCGGAGAATTTTCTTTGCTGCCTTCAATGCATTTTTCTGTAAAAAAAGATTCCATCAGCTCCAGACAGGACCATTCATTAGATAGGGGAATCAATGTTGATGTTGCAGGTGTAGCACTCAATTTGATAAACTGCTAAGCTTATCCCTAATCTCCAAGACATTTTTAGTAGCTTGATATGGTACTTTTTTCCCCAAAATTTTCATTTTTTTTCGTTCATCGGACTCAGGATGTAACGCTGTCCTACTGTCACATGCCCCTTCAGTTCTTCGAACTCTATGACACAAGAGACTGAGCTAGGACGGTATTAGCGGCCTCAGTGGCTTAATGGATAGTGCGCGAGACAAGGGTTCGAGTTCAGGCGTCTGGCTTCTGCTCATTAGTCAGCATTCCTATGATGGCATTATCTCAGCACTATACTGTTGTTCACCAAAGCTTTACTAGGTTGTTCAAAGTTAAGTGGTAGAGAACTTCGTGTATTTCACAGTGTTTCCAACAGGTTCGCTAACCACGAAAAAACGAAAAACGCTGTGTAAAACAGGACATAGCCGTTGACTCTTAGTGGGCGAGACCGGAGTAGCCAGAACTGCTAATATAGGAGCCACAGCGCCTTCGTTACTACAGGAGCAAGCTAGATCTCCCGGGAAATGACCATGTATTTCTACCTGATTACATGTACTATGAAAACTAAAGTGTTTGGTCTTAGAAGTTAGAGGTGCTTACTAATGAATGCAACTCACATCGCTCACGCCAACTCCTTCGACATGTTCGGCATCAAAATCGGATAGGACTTTTGTGAGGTCGACGTCCTGGACGTAAAAAGCTTCTCGAGTTCCCATCAAAATAGTTTCTGAAGGCTCACCTCATCGATTTTGGCAAAGACCTCGTCCTTCTTTATATGATCGCTTGGCAGTTGCAACTGCGAATGGCTTGGCTCCTCCTGGATGGATAGAACGATTTAATCATTGTCCTACTACAAACTTTTTGAAGATACAAGCTTGAGTAGGTAAAAAATCCTGAGGGGATTACAACACGATGGAAGACTCTTCATGCTTGCTGACCCCTTCATTGAGAGGTGAGCGGCACTGCTGCTAGTCACACTTGATGTTCCAGGAGTCAAATTCTGAGCACCAGCCAGGTCTTCCATCACCCCAGGGGAGGTGAGCTGTTTGTCTGGTAGGGGAGACTCTGACTCGGACAACTCGTATCCCAGAGGTGTGGGGGAGGGAGGTGCGTGACTGCCGTGCGTACTCCTTTTAATAATGGCGACAGCTCCGCTTTTAGAGGGGAGTCGCCGTTTTGGGCAATGTGATCATGTCTTTGTGCGACACAAGACAGGATGACAGTTGGCACCAGGGTACAGCATAGGGATAGGCGAAATGTCGGTGTGAGTACGACCCCCCCCCCTCCGAATGGGGTCCACGCCACGACCCCCCCCCCCTCAGCTCGACCGGCTCTTTCGCCGACTGACGAGCGATGGGTATATAGTCGGCGAAAAAGTCGTCGAGCGGGGGGGGTATACAAGAAAAAATCAACTATCAAAATAAATTTGTCTTACCCCAAATACGACCCCCTCCCCAGCGGAAAAG